GCTGAAAAATGACCAAATCCGGGACTTGGCGAAACAGCTCGAGCAATTACAGCAAGGCAATGTTGCACCGGGCGCTCATTGTGCAGCTCTCGATGCGATCGATCTCGAGAATGAGCAACTACGAAACTCTCTCCAAGCCGAGCGGGACGAGAAGACCGATATGCAAGCCAAGCTTGATAAGCTTGACAGCGATCACCTCAGAGTCTCCATCGAACACGACATAATGGAGGCCAAGCTCATTGTAGAACAGAAGTCCAACAGCACGCTCAATAAAAGTACAGAAGCGATGATGCACGAGCTGAACATGCTCCGCAAGGTAGCCAAAAGCCGGCAAGGTGCTCTCGGTGAGCAAGACCAGTCCGAGCTGCTGGACCTGGTGAGCGGGACCGCCGCTACAAACCAGAGCCTCCTCGACACCAACGCTCAGCTACAGGATAGACTTGAGGAGATCGAGCAGTGGAGCAAGACCATCGTCGATAAGTGCGAGAGCGACGTTATGATCGCGAGTAGCGACGTAAATTATTGGTACCACCTCTACTTCAACGAGGCCGTCGCAACAACCGAGCGCTTACACAACGAGATTGCCGCCCTCAAAGCAGAGAAGGGTGAGCAACATTTCGTCGAGCCTGCTCCGCCCGCCAACCCCGAGATCCATGATCGGAAGACGCTGGCATTTGCTATGGCACATGGGCTTCAGGGTGTTCCGCCGGAGTTGATCTCTGCGACCTTCTACGACTCTACGTCCGGAGTGTGTTTGTCGCCTACTGAAGCCGCGTTGAAAGCACTACGGCCACAGGGATGGTACCCCATCTACATTGCGGGTAAAGTGTGGTTGTCAAAGATGGTAGCGGCACTCTCCGAGGAGCAGGCTGCGATGCGCATTGAGGCTGGCGATCATAATGCGAGTCAGGGTAGCGCTGGCTCTGCGCGATCCTCAGTGAGCAACACATACGCGCCACGGGGCATCGACTTCGCCACCACGTCAGTTGCTCACATCAATGTGGCGGACAATGCGTCGGATCCAAGGACGCCGCTGCTGACGCGAGCATCAAGCAGACGAACGCACAGTCCCATCACCCCAGGACGCGACGACCGAACGTCAATCCCAACGCAGGCACGGAAGGCGAAACCTCAAGTGGTACGCCGGGTTGCGCGAAGCCGCCTCGTCGAAGTATCGCAGATTCCAGAGTATCAATCGTCGTGGCAGCAGATTGATGAAAGGATGACGCGTAAGGTGTGGGAGGGCATGGACGAGGAGCTCAGGGTCCACTGGGCCACGGATTATCTAAGGATTGGAGACGACTAAGCGCCTGGTGATACAATGCGATAAGCAAGCTGGAGGTCAACGGTTGCATTATCGTGTGGCGACAATGGAAGACGAGGCCGCGATGGACTGCTGGCCATGCAAGGCAAGCAAGGTGGCAGGCGCGACAATCGGTCTGCAATCCACAAATGAGACTACCCCATCGCACGAATAGGGTGCACACAGGCTGGAGACGGGTAACGGTCGAAGATGCTCAATGAATGAGACGCGCAAGCGCTGGAGGAGACGGACAGAGAGATGGGATGATGCGGGAAGGATGACACGCGCGGTGGCATTTGGGTTCTGTCCATGTTCGCGCTAGATCCTTCGCGGCAGCGCCCAGCAATCTGCAGGATGACACGCATGATTGGCGCTTGACAGGCCAACGTCACTCCATCTTCAGTAGCTATTGTCTTTCTTATATATCAATCAATGTTGTAAACACATGGCCGTTCGGTGTCTTCTCTTAGATTTAGTGGGTGCCTCTGTTATATAAGTCGGCAACAGCCCGCGCAAACCACCACGAACACGCAATTCTCAGGGTTTGTACGTCAACACAGCCGCCCCATCGTTACTGTGAGATGTTTCCTCTTTCGCAACTAGTATGTGACTAGTTGAAGCTGACTAGATCATCTTAGAGCCGCGGTGGAATTTCGCGGTGTCGTGATCGATGACGTCATCACCATCCCCCTCACCAAACTGTCTCACCAGCGGTGCCCGAAGAACGGAGAAGGCACCTTGAACGCGGGTGCATATCGCAACTCATACTTATGGCTATACACCTCGACGCCAGCACTTTGAGAGGCCTTTTGGCGCAGCGCTAGGGCTTTCATGACGGCTACGCGGGATGCAGCTCTCGCGCACATCAGCGCCTGGCTCACTGAGACGCGATGACGCACAAGTTGCTCAAACACATCTATAGGTACCACAAGCGCACTCTGGTACATATAATCATCCTCAGTATCTGATTTGTCTCGCAGATATGCTGTGTTGGGTTGTCGCGCTCGCCATCTGTTCCTCCACCGGCGCCCCTTCACCTTGTCACAACCACCGCGGCCAGCACACCAAACGGCGTCCTAAATCGCAATGACGTCGCTAGTCGCACAAGAAGTATCTGCTGCCTTCTCTCTCTCGTCGTCCTTGCTATTGTTGCGTTATTGAGCCTTTACCGAGCCAGTCAGGCGCTGCTGCGCAAAAAGTGAAGGAGACCTGAAACACAACTTTTCGACCCCAACCCCCGAACCTCCGCAGAACGACACCAGATCCCGGCCAGAACACCAGTTCCTTGAGAGGCTGGGCCAATAGCCGGCCGCCGCCACAGTATGCGACGCCAAATCGGGTAACTGAAGTATCCACCACCACCACCTGCACCGCAGAAGATGGAGGAAAAGGTGCGGTATTTATCTACCTTCATGCTCACAGACTTGCTAACCAGCCTCCTCAATTGCTTAGATAACGACGCCGAGCCTTTCTCCCACAGAGCTCACCTTGTGGCTGTCAAAATCAATTTCTATTCGTCTCTCTTACACCACACACTACTTCCTGATTATCTTCAAGCATCTCAGCGACTACTTTCTCACTTCTTTCAAACCTACATATTCATCAACATGTCCAACAATATGGACTTCGACTTCAGCATGTTCTGCAACGACGACTTCCTCAAGGACATCCCTCTGCCGTCCGTCGAGACCTCTGGCGACGACGTCGCTCTCAACTTCGACTACGGCTTCAACGCTGGAGAGTTTGCCGGCGACATGTCGTTTGGACTTCCTGGCGGTGACCTCCTGAGTCACGCCAGGCATCTACAAGGTGCTGAGTTGGCGTCCTCTACTCTCCCCAAGGCCATTGAGACCCTCCCGGCCTCCACTTTGCCTGCCGTTCCAGGGCCTATCGAGGCAATGTGGACGCCTCTCATGAACCCAGCTCCGCCGGTAACCCCGGCCAAGAAGACCAAGGCCCCCGCCAAACCTCGTGCGACCAAGCCCAAGGCTCCTCCCAAGCCCAAGGTTGTCAAGGTGAAAGCTCCGCCCAAGCCCAGAGCTCCCAAGCCTCCCAAGGAGAAGGCCGCCAAGGTCACCAAGCCCAAGAAGCCTGCGAAGGCTCACAAGCGCACCGTCTCTGCACCCTCCGGACCCATTCGTTGCGTCGGAGAGCTTTACCACCTCCCCTGGTCTCAGCTCTCCCAAGAAGAGAAAGGCCGTCTTCTACTTCCTCTCCTCCAGGGCATTGACCCCAGCACCGGTATCAAGATCGGCGAGCCCGGCACTCTACTTCCCCCACCTGACTTCGAGATGATCGGCGAAGACCTCTTCGGCACTGGCGACAGCGGCGCCAAGCTCATGGGCACCTCTACCTCTTCCCCAGAAACACAGCGCAACAGCCTCACCATCACACCTTCAAGCCCCACTGCATTCCTCAGCAGCCCGGCTACCGCTATCACCACCCGCGACTCCGACGCCGAGGACGCCGCCAAGTACCGCGCTCTCATGGCAGCTCAGAAGGCGCAGATGTCTACCACCAGTTCTCCTATGTCCAACTCCGATATCAACAACATCGACATCGACATCAACAACACTGTTCAGTCATTGGGCAACGACGCCGTCAACATGAACTACTGCCTCAACAAGGACACCTCTTTCGCCTCCGACTTCCAGCTCGACCTCCCCGATTTCCAGCTTGACTTGTCAGAGTTCGAGTTCAATCTCGGCGATATGTCTCATCCCGCCTATCAAGGTCTCAACTCCGGTCGCGGTCTCGGCGGTCCTTGTGGTAACGGCGTCATCGACGACCCGGCTCCGGCTCCAGCTCCTGCGGTTCAGCCTGTTTCTCCTGTCAACAACATCACCGATCTCTCGGACGCTGCCGCCATGCTGAATGCCCGTCGCGGTATCGGTCAGACTCCCACTCCCGCCAGCGACTACGGACGTCTCCGTCAGATGGAGGCTCTCAAGCGCAATGCTGAGCTTCAGGCTGCTGGTCGTCGTCGCTAGATGCTTTGCGCACTCGGCGTTGGATAGTGTCGTGTCATGCGTCTGCTTTTCTTTCTTTTGTTGCCTTGATGGCGTGGTTGCGAGGAGCTTACTGGCTTGGACGGACTGGCGCATTGGCTGCTGGGTTGTTATGAACCCTGGTGGTGTCTACTACTGAGTATGAGATGGACATGAAGATGCATGGAGATGGATATGGTTACGGAACGCTCTCATCGCATCACCGCTGAGCATCGGATGAGCTTGATGAGAAACATTGACAGAAGAATATACCCACAAAACCCATCGTCTCTTCCCTTCTACACTGCCTGACCGTGATATCTGCCCTGCTATATCTTCGTCTTCGCTTCTACACCTCTTCTTGCATGTCAGCACATCCACCTCTTGACTCATGCCCTTCAGCCAGCACATTCAAAGCTTCGACTTACTTTCTCTATGCTTCTCAAACATCTCATAACAGCCTTCCTCCCACTTTCTCATCAATTTTCCACATATCAGGTCTCCAGGCGGTACAACCTGCCCCGCATACACGCCAGCAAGTCCAGTTTTACGGTCAATCCACCAGATGAGATTGGGATAGCCACCCCAGAGCATCGTCCCTGTTTTCTTGCCGTCAGGCGCATCGCCCATCATGACCAAGCCGCCGAGGGCGTAGTCTTTGGCTACGTGTTTGGGTGTACCACCCATTGCGTTGTTTGCCTGTGTTATCATTAGCCGAACCGCCCTGGGTGAATAGAGTAGGAGGAAAGACTTGCCGCGTCATCCTGTACAACAGCATTTAACATCGCCCGACTCCCGTCACCCAACTGCGGCTTGAAAAACGTCTCTAAACTCTCCTTGCTCAACACCTTGCCCTCGCCTCCCTCGTCACAATCCAACACCCCCTTCAACACCTTAATATACTCCTTCGCGCAAGTAAAACTGCCCTGCCCACCCATACAACCCGTCACCTCCCCACCCTTATCATCCACAAAAGGCATCTTCCCCTCATGAACACTCAACTTCCCATCTTCACCCCTCCCCGACATCTCCGCCATCCTCTCCTGCAGATCCGGGCGCGTGGAGGGGAAGAACGTAACGTCGGTGATGCCAAGTGGGCCCCAAAGATTCTTCTTCATGTACTCTTCTAGCGTGAGACCGGAGATACGTTCGACTAGTAAACCGGCGTAATCAACCCCAGGCCCATACGCCCAGCTCTCGCCCGGCTCAAACACAAGCGGCGCATCGAAGCGCCCCACGACCGTTGGCGAGGCATTCATTTTCTTCCCGTGATATTTCAGCCACGCCAGCGTTTTCGGATGCATACCTTCGTACGTCAGGCCGCTCGAGTGCGTAAGTAGTAGACGAAGCGTAATAGGCTTTGTGTGCTTTTCCTCAATAGGGACTCCGGCGTCTGTGAAACCAGTGAGGACGTTCAGGGATTTCAGTTCTGGGATGTGGGTGTATACGGATTCGTTTAGGGTGATGTGGCCGCGTTCTACGAGTTGCATGGCGCAGAGGGCGGTCATGAGTTTGGTGCAGGATGCGACCCACATCATCGTGTTGAGATTCATGGGTTTGGCTGAGCTGGGGTTCGTGGAAGTGCTTCCGAAGGCTTTGGAGTATGTGAAGGTGCCTAGTGTTTGTTAGTATTGGAGGTTGGATATCGTAATGGGGAGTCGTGTTGCGTACCATCACGGCTTGTGGCCGCTAGAGCACACCCGGGGATTTCCTGCGCTGCAATGGCGTCGTTGATGATGGTTTCGAAATCGGCCATGGTTGTGGTAAAGACTTGAGTAGTTTCATGCAATAATGGACGTGGTGACTTGCTCCAAGCTGTATGGCTATGATTATGTATGTACACGTTGCGCAGGGACCGCAGACTACAAGATCGAGATTGGTGTCAAGATGACAGAAATGGTCCTAGAAATGTCGTTAGTTTCTAGGCTGCAGCGACTGTCACGGACTACAACTCACGGAGAAAGCGGTAACGTATACAGAGTAAGGGTTGCACGAAAACTGCCTGGTGTTTGTTGTCGTGATTCGTCCGTGGCGGGCCAGGATGGGCTGCCGAGGTACACGATGCGGGGCTTCGATTCTTCAACCGCTAGTCGCGACGTCGACTAAGCCGGGAAATCCACGAATTATGAGACAATGAAGAAAGAAAGCACAGAGTGATTGTAAATTCTCCAGTTTCTACTTCAATGGCGCTTTTCAATAACAGAGGCGCAAGCCACGGAGACGCTGTTCACGACAACACCTCCCCCTCCTGCGACACCGCATACAGTTCAGGACAACCAATTCGCCTCAAAATGACTGCTCCATAATCCCCAATCTGGATTTGTACCAATGCGAGCCTAACAACACGTTTCCGTCACCACATCTCGAACTCGCCGATGCCGGAATCCCAATCATCCCTAGAGCAAAAGTCAGCACCACATTGTAGTCGTCAGCAGCTGTCCACATACTCATTGATAATCTGAACATTGTCCGAAGTCTTGAAAGCCCACAACATCATCATGAGGTCATCAGGTAGTCCGTGAAGCTCGGCATCTTGTTGGTAGCTATCCTCATTCCGTATGACCGCAGCCATGCCTCTCATTTGTGTCGCTACGTCTTCAGGCTCGGGTTCAGGAGGGACGAAGTGGGTTGTCCATGGGCCAGGATCAAACTGCTCGACAGCGTCAGCAAGGGTGCGATAGTCGAGGACGGTAAGGTTCTGCATTGGTATTATGTCTAGGCACTGTTAGTGACGTATTGGAGAGCTGCTGTTATGGTACTTACTACCAAGGTTGCAGTCCAGCAGATGTCCTTCATCTTCTCCGCAATCTACACATGGAAGCTGTTCAAGGCCTTTCATATAGCTGCCCCACGGCTCGGGGATGGTCTCTACAGGCTTCTCCGTTACGCCTGCAGCTTTGGTACCCGATGGGCGTGAGTCTGATATGCTGGGCGACCGGAGGTCACTGATTGACTGCCGTTGTTTCGCCTGAGAAGCATAAGTCTGCCCGTTGTTTGTCGTGTCGCACGCTCTAGCGGCTGCGACTGGCTCTTCCATCCTTGCACCTTCGGTATAATGCGCTGGGGAGCTTGTTGGCAACGGTATCGGGCTAGACCGGCTATCGAATGACACCCGATGCGGTGCATTTGAGGGGGTCTTTGGGGTGGCATTGTGGGGCGCGTGCGGACTTGTTGATACACCGGCGATACTATCATCATCGTCGAAAGCAAATGGCGTTGTTGGAGCTGCAACCTGCCCGTGTCCTGTGTTGGCGGAGGACCCTGTATTACGACCATCCGCTTGAATATCGTCTCTCTGCTTCGGTATCCTGTGCCCATTATATGTATCATCGAAACGTTTGTCTTGTCTTCCGTCCGTCGGAGATCGGATTGGGATGTTCGAAGGATTGGAGGCTCCTGATATCGAGGTGGTATTCTTCGGCAAAGGGCCTGCAGCACTATTGGACTGGACTTGCTGTTGCGGGGGAGCTGCGTAAGGAGGGTATGGTACAGCGGGTACGCGAGCGGACGGGTGAACCCAGTTATGTTGCGAGACTCCATTGCTCGGATTTGATGTTGCCTGTCTCGGTGACGGCTGTAATCCCCATTGTAACGCGGCTCGCGGTATCGTAGGCACATTCCCGCTGGCGGACGGACCAGGTTGTGCGGACGTCAACGGCTGCGTTGCGAAGCTTTGGGAAGGGATCTGCCCTTGGTTTGTCGCTTTGGCAGGAGGAAGTGAAACCTTGGTCTTCTCTAACGATGGAGACGTGGACGAAGACTGGCCTGTAGGCGCTGTAGAAGCACTGGGTCTTTGTTTGGCGGACTTGGCCTTGGCTGCAGGCTTCGGTCGCGCTGCTTGTGATAGCTTCGCGCTGCGTGCCCTGGTGACTCTGCCAACGGGGGACTTCGGTGCCGCTGGTTCTGCGTGCTGAGCTTGCGATGAAGTCGAGTGTACGGGCCCTGGTGTCACTGGAGATGAGATGGGCCGGTCTGGTAGCTGAATCGCGGGATCGATCGGAGTAGGTCGTTGGGCTCTGTATTTCGCTTCCCAGTACTGCTTGAGTCGTGGGTTGGTGCTGATTGGGTAGAGCGGCACTTGCCCCCTGGACGACATGGGCAGATGAAGCATCGAGCGCAGTTCGTAGATCGTTTGGAGATGATGACGCGCCGTACCCGACATCGCCATCTTGAAGCTTGTATCGTTTGCGCCCCTCACCCATCTTAAATTGATCTCGTCGAACCTGTCGTCGCTGGAGTCGGCAGCTTGGAGAACATCCTCGGGTGTTGTGAAGCCGCGGGCCATTGCGCGCCGGTCATCGTCGATAGTTTGGAACCTCCAATACCCGCCTTCCAAATGTGATGGGTCGATTGTCCGCACAAAGTGATCAAATTCGCCGTTGGCACCCGTCGCAATGCCGCGGTAGGCTGAGTGGTAGGCCATGGGGACTGTCGAGTGCGTGGCTTTCGATTGAAGCGGCGTGAAAGTCGGCGTAAAAGCGAATGAGGGTAAGTCGTCGCCGTTGAGATCAGACTGGTTGGTGTTGCATCAAGCGAGGGCAGGTGGAAGTCCGCTGTGGGAGTAGTCGGGGAAGTAAACACTGGAACGGCGCAGAAGATTGGAAGGCACGCGTAGGCACCCAACATGCAAATTTGAAAGAGCTGAAAATCTCGAGCTTAGAGGACCATGGTTTGACAGAAATATCAAAATGATTAAGAGACAGTTGCAAGCAAAGGATGAGCCATTCGCCGCATGTTTACCTCTCATATCGCACTGCACGTGCGAGGCAGCTGCCTGAGGAGGGGGCAATTCGAGCCCACCGCTCCATGCATCCTCAGTACCTACAAGAAGAGCCGCGTAATGAACCTAACATCAGCTCATAGGAGGCCTCGTCTGTGCATCGATCGCGACGCGCTATCAGTCAGTCAATAACACGGTGCGAAAGCTGTCGCGACAGCATTATAGACATCAGCCAGGACGTCCAAATACGAAAGTGCCGCATCGCATACTTCGCATCACAGTCTGACTCTAGTTTTGGACCGAAAAATGAATTGAGGGATGCGCAGGAAGAAGGACGGGTATAGGAGATGAGATGAGACAAGACGAAGACGCGATGTTCCTCGGTGATGGTGTCAGCCGATGACGTCATCGGCTCCACAATCGCCATCACCCTTGCTGTTCAGCAGGCAGTCCAAATCAGGCAAGTTCTGAAAACCGTAGATTGCGGGTGCCTGGAGAATTACCACGCGCTGTCCGAACTTCTCCCCGCCGTCTCCTACTCAGCCGCCTCCCACCTTATGCAAGCAAGGCCCTAGAGTTCCGCCTACGTTGGTGTTAATTCACCTACTTCGCATCTTCTTATTCAAATGTAGGCTGCAGACCTGTTCATCTTCTCCTTGAACAACGCGCTCCATCTACAGCGTCAACCCCCCAAACCACTCCAAAATAATCCTCGTCGCCTCCGCCGCCTCACACGTCAAAACGCCCTCGTCATCCCCTGTATCGCCATTCGCAAACGAACTAGGCCAGTCATGCCCCAAATTCTCATACTTGTAATGCACAACCAAGTCGTCCCAGCTATACCTCGTCACCTTCTTCCCATTGTCTCCCTCACAGAGATATGATGTTTTGTTCGCGTTAACGTCAAGGCCGTCTCTCTCGACCCAATCCCTCACCCACGTAGGAACGTCAGTTGAGTTCGCGTTGCCACGTGTGTTGATGCCGCCGGCGTATGGTATTGTCGTGTCCTCCAGGCCGTGGAATTCCATGATGGGGACTTGGCGGCTGGGGTTGCAAGGTAAGGGCTGCTGGTCGGCATCGAGGTAGAAAGCGCCGGATACAGGCGCAAAAGCGGCGATTCGCGAGCTCGCTTCGGCGTCGCAGGCTAGCACGCCGCCGGTGAAGCCTCCGCCGTTGGATTTCCCGGTTGCGTAGATGCGGGTGGGGTCGATGCAGTAGGTTGATTGGAGGTGGTCGAGGAGTTCGAGCGTGAACTTGACGTCGGAGATGGAGGGTGGCGAGTCGGGATCGCCTTGGTATTGCTGCGTGCCCTTTGCGTTCTGGGCATGTATTAGCATACTTCTATCATTTATTTAGAGATGGGGAGATGGTACCGGTACGCCTTCGGGATACGCGACGATTCCTTCGAAGCCGTAGCTGGCGTTTGAGAATTGACTGAGGGCTTCTTGGTACTTTGCATTCTTGCCACGGCCGTGGAAGGAGAGAATGAGTGGGACGGGATTGTTGTTGTCGTAGGAGGGCGGGATGTGTAGACGGTATTTGCGAGGGGAAACACCGCTTTCACTCTCCAATGTCAGATCGACGGACTTGTCGAGCTCGACGCCTTTGGGTAATGACTTTCCACATCCGCAGTCGGGTGCGGTGTTTGGACTTGAAGCTGCGGTTGCGGCAAAGAGCACCGCTAGCATTGACGACGATGCCTTCATTTTGGTAGTTCGGGTTGGATTCAGAAGTCTTGATCGTGGCTGCATGCAGTTATATATCTCCGAGGTGGTTCAGGCGTGCAGCAACGTCACATGCGACCTTATCTTTTTGTGGCTAGATTGCTGTAGCATGATATCTAGCGTGATGCTAATGTACGGCCCGCCGTGCTAGTCTGTATGCCTCATGAAAGGTGTCGATCGTAAGCCTCAGCCGTCCTACAACCCACTTTGCTATTAATAACTATATTTTCTATCTTTCACAAGCCACCTAATGACTATAAGTCGTAGCAGCTATGCCGAGCTCCAACGGACCCATAAACGCCGACTTCATCCCTCAGTCCAGGCCCTCGACGACGGCTTCTACCATAGCCTCGCGATACTTCTTCTTCATCCCATCATCAAAGCCATCATACTCCTCTTCAGAAAACGTATTGTGCCCACCCTCCATATATTCCTCAGCGACTCGTTGCTCAAGAGTACGTCCATCATCACCGTTCACGTCCAGGCGGTCGATGCTTATTTGTTCGACGTGCGCAGCGACTTGAATAGATTCGGTCGGATCGGGTAGATTGCTGTCTTGAGAACCTGCTGATACGTTAGTGATGCTACTCAGTTGGCTCATGCAGCAACATGGCTTACCCGTAATACCCTGACCATACTGCGCTAGGAACGCGTCTTGATCGATGTCTTCGTCAGCGACGTAACCGGCAAGCTGCTCATTTTCGGCTTCGTGGGCGCTGATGCGCGCAAGCATCGTTTTTGCAAATGCAGGTAGCTCATCATACTCCCGCGCCTCTTCCTCTCCGATCGCTGTGGAATCCTGACCATCATCAGGATGGCAGCCGTCAGCTTTCGCGCTATCGTTCGGGTCTCCTCGCTCATGTGATATGCGCTTGCTAGAAGGCGGTGACGTATCACCTGTGTCGTGCGAGCCTGGGGTATTACGAGGCGTGCCGATATGTTCTTTGCTACCGTCAGAATCATCTTCCTCGTCGGTTTTCTCTTCCTCGTCGCTGTCCGACCCATCGTCAATGTCGAACATTTTGCGATGCGCCTCTTCGAGCTTTTCGTCCAGCGCCTCAAGTTCCTTCTTGAACTCCGCCAGCCGCGCATTCGACGCCGCACGAGTCGCCTCATCCATGACGATCTCACCCTCGCCCGTGAGTAGGGGAACCGTGAGAGGCACCCACGCGGCATGTCCCTCCAAGTACTGCCAGAAGTCCGGCCAGAGCTTACGCAAAGCCAGCTCAACTGCTGAGTGGCAGCCCTTGAGGAAGTCTGGATCGAAGTACTCCTTAGGCAGCATGCTCTTGGTCAGGCCGTGGTCTTCGCGTAGCGCAAACTGTAGTAAGCGTCTGTCGTGAACTAAGCGACTGGAAGCTGTGGAGGAGTAGAAATGTTCCTTTCCACACTTCTTCTTCCAATACGCAAGTTCTTCGTGCAGGCTATCACGCTCGACAACTGCCACGTGCCAGTAATGCATCTCAAAGTCTTTGTACCATGCTCGGTAGTTGTCGATCCTGCGTTCGCACTTGGCACGTGTATCGAGCGCCTCAAGCTTGAACATATCAACATCTTTCAGGAGTTCGTACTTCTCGGCTATGAGTTTCCTGTTCTCTGTTTGGAGTGGGTGAATCTGAGTGAGGATCAAGCGATGCATTTCGAAAGCATGTGGGCTACTGGTGGTGTGTGTAGCGCTGACCAAGGCATGACAGTTCTGGATTTGGTCTTCGAGAAGCTTCTCTTGTGCTTCCAGTGACTGTACTTTGCGTTCAAGCTCAGCTACCTTGGCTAAGCGATCTTGCTCCTCGGTCTGGTGTGTGAAGAGATCCTTGTCACACTGGTCCAATTTGGCTTGAATGTGTCGACGTGTCTCTTGTTCCTGCTGAAGCTCAGCGCGAAGTTGTTCTGCCTGCGTGTAATACTCCGCTATGGCCTCTGCCACCATGCCGTTAACAGTGGCTCGTGGAACGCAGTCTGTGGTGTTGGAGACAGCGCCCTGGCTCGCCTTGGCAGCTGCAGCAGCGATGACTTTCTGCAGATCTGAAGCGTATATATTGCTCTTCGTCAAGTTATCGTTCAGGTGGGAGACTTGATCGACCGCATCTGTGCGTTCGGCCTGCAGCGTCTCAAGCTTCCTCAAATACGATGTCAGTCGATCTGCATTCGACTGGTTGATATCGAGCAGATTCTGCACATCCGTCTTGAGGTTCTTGTTCTCTTTGCCCAATGCTGCGTTCTTCTTACGCAAGGCTTGATGCGTCTTGATGGCGTGCTGGGTATGCTTGGCTAGGTCGCCTTTGGCCATCGCTGCGTCCAGTGTAGTCTCCAAGCCAGCGATGACAGCGTCCTTCTCCTGCAAGATCTGGAGCCAGTTCGCGTGGTTGTTACGAGTCTCCGCTTGGGCGATAAGGGCTGCACGCTTGACATTCTCCTCGGCATCTTCCCAGAGTTTGCTTCTCTCCGCAAAATGGTCGGAAAGCTTTCGATAAGTAGTGCTTTGCTTCACCAAGTCGGCTTTGCAATTACAGGTAAGTGAATTGCGCCCTTTAACGTCGTGGTTCTCGTTTATAGCGGAGGCTGAATCGAGAGCTGACTTCAGCCGTGCTAGCTCATCATCCTTCTTGGTAACGAAGTCGGATAAGCCGTGAACTTTGGCTTCCAAACCACTATTATTCTTGCGAAGAATAGCGATAGTACTCGCCTGCTCGTTGCATGTCGGCTCCAGTTCGGCGATCCGACGAGACCAATCGTCTATGGCCTTACGATCCGCTTGGCGCTTTCCACGTAGAGTATCGAGGGTGCTCCTGTCTCGCCCCTGTTCAAATAGAAGTTCGTTGATCTCGCGATCTTGAGCGGCGATGATAGCCTCCTTGTGGTTACATGTAGCAGCCAATGCATCTGCCTTCGTGATCAGAGCGTCGACGCGTTCTCTAGTAAGCGCGTGCGCTGCGGCGATGTCATCATATTGCTTAGTTGTCGGTCGCCCTTCTAGCTGAACAATATGAGCTTGACATGTAGCGAGTCCGCGTGCGAGTGCCTCGTTCTTCTGTTGAAGCTGCTGTATCTGACGGGACGCTTGCGAAATCGAGCTTCGTTCATCCTGACATGGATCAGTATGAGTTACTTATGGTGATCAAGACCCGACGGATGGAGACTTACAGGATGGAAAGCGTGGGCTTGCATAAAGATCTTAGTCGCAATAGAATGTAAAGAAGGCGAAGTGGTAGCCAATGGCTTACACTCGCTCAAGCTGCATGATTGAGTGGCGCGCATATTGCTGGTAATCGGCTGTGTTTGTGGTTCCTGGTTTAGAAAGCTCTTTGATAGCCCGAGCATGTTGGCGGAGGTGTGCACTGGTGGCTCCGGTCTTTGCCAAAGAGTTGAGCCCAGCGCTTGGGTGGTGGGAGCAGAACGCAGCAGTCGTAGTGTAAGTGATGTATTGGAGCAGAGCATCGCCAAGAGATCACATGCAGCGTTTGGTTGCGAAAAAGGCACGGGGCCACGAGCACTCCCTTCACTATGGTGGACCGTGCCCGAATGCCTCTCGTATCATATCCAGTGAATTCGTATGTATATATGAAGAACACGGTAAGGCGATGTAAGACGGGGTATCGAATCGGAGCAAAGCGCGCCTCAGTCAGTTCTCCAGCCCACGAACACCTCGTCAGTTCTGAACCGCTGCGTACATGTCGTGTCGTTCAGCTCTGTCTTTACTCCAGTTCCGTACTCTAATAGACCCGCATGAGCAATCATGATGCCGTTGTCAATGCAAAACATCTCGTCTGTTGCGAACACATTGCCACCCCTGTCTCTTGCCATCATGCCCATCATTTGCTGTAAACGCATATTCGAGCCCACGCCACCTACTACTAGCACTTGTTGTGAACCAACATGTGCCATGGCTCGCTCGGTGATCTCAACAAGCATAGCGAAGATGGTCTCCTGTAGTGAGAAGCACATGTCTGCTCTTGTGACCAGCTGTCCATCTTCAGTCTTTAATCTCTTCTCGTCGGGTAATGACTCGTCTAGTCCGCGCGCGAGGAGATCGGCTGCAGCCAATATTCCCGAAAAGCTCGCATCCATGCCTTTGACGCCATATGGTAGATCGACGAGGTTTCTGCCATCCTTTGCCAGTTGCTCAACATTGTATCCGGGAAATGGATCGTTGGGTATCATAAGTGTGCGGGCGAATCGATCGATGCAGTTTCCTATAGCAATATCCAGGGTCTCTCCGAAGATGCGATACCGTTGGGCGGAGTAAGCAATGACTTGTGTGTTGCCACCAGATACGTATAGGACCACGGGGTTATCGGCGCGGGTTATTGAGCGACCCATTTCGATGTCTGTAATATCTTAGCTAGGTTCCTGATATATAGATTTCTTGGGACGCGTACGACCAACGCAGTGGTTCACGCCCACCATGGGCTTCCCCCACAGTAGACTAATCGTCCTGGCTGCAAGCGCGACGCTTTGTAACGGTGCGCCCATACCTGGGCCCTTGGTATAGCATATGCAATCGATATCTTCAATTTTGACTCCCGCTTGGCGCACAGCCTGCTTGATTAGCCTCACAACCCATGCTCGGTGATGTATTGCGGTGTCCTTGGGCAAGAAGCCTTCGCCGGGCGGGGAAACATAGGTATGCCGCAGGTTCGCGAGAATGATCGGTGGCTTGTTAGGACCAGGGTGGAAGATGACACCGACGCCTATCTTGTTGGCGCTTCCTTCCAGTCCTATGGCGATCATTGTGGCGGTCGTCGCGGTTCGGCGTTGATGTTTGACGCGTCGAGGCGGGGTGACGTTGGAAAAAGCTATCGATAAGGAATGACATGCATGAAGCCAGCGCTGGGCAACCACCAATGGCCAACAGCGGTGCAAATCAAGTCGCGTGTTATGAATCTTCGCGAAATCGCGATGCAACCCGGAATTGGCAGAACTCAGTGCTGTAATGCTCTTAGAAATTAAGCTATGTGCATTTGCTACTGTGGAAGAGCTTCTATGTCCGTAAAGGAACCCGGGCAGTGCGAGTGCAAGTAGAAGCAGACCTTTTTCAACACGTTTGCTGATCATACAACTCTTGCGAAACTCACGATCGTCCTGTCAGATGATGGCGATGCTGCACGCTGCACGTATGCAGCAAGCAAGCCGATATAAAAACCCACGAAAAGACGTCACAGCGCCCGCGAGTCAGGTGCTGCAGGGTCTGTGAACCACCACAACAAAGTCTACTAATTCTGTCGCATATCTTCACAATCAATTCTTCATATCCCAAATCTATCCAGCTTTTCTATCCTCGCTCCAATCCCATCCCTCTTTGATCATATAACCAACAGCAAGAGTTGCAAATTCTTCCACACCCCAGCCACCAAATCCTCCACCGCTCGGACCAAGCAGCCTCGGTACGCCGAACCGCTAAAGAATATCCACCAAATATCCAACCCTCCACAACAATCCCACGCCACACCGGACCGTTGCGCTGTATGGCAGACTTCGACGGCGCCAGCCAGACCTTTCTGGCCTGGCTGAAGGCTTCTGGAGCGGAAATCAGTCCAAAGGTCAAGCTGCAAGATCTGAGGAACCAGGATGCTGGGCGAGGCGTGAGTAAGTAGCTACTCCACCTATGCGTGCTGCCAGACCTACCTCGACTGCCACCACCCTCCATTGTACATTTGGCAGATCCATACTAACATAAGTCAAGTCGCGACTGAACCCATCGCCGAGCACGAACTCCTCTTCCGCATACCCCGCGCCTCCATCCTGAGCGTCGAAAACAGCATCCTCAGCCGCGAAATCCCCGCTTCGACATTCGCCCTCCTCGGCCCCTGGCTCTCTCTCATCCTCGTAATGCTCTACGAATACCACAATGGCTCCGCATCAAACTGGGCTCCTTATTTCGCCGTCCTGCCCACCGAGTTCAACACCCTGATGTTCTGGTCCGAGGACGAACTAGCCGAGCTACAAGCCAGCGCCGTGGTAACCAAGATAGGGAAGGAGGGCGCCGACGAAGCCTTCACAGAGCAATTGCTACCTGTGATAGAAGAGTTTGCGGAGATAGTGTTTAGTGGGGATGAGAGGGCGAAAGATAAGGCGAAGGAGATGCGCAGCCCTGAGAATTTGGAGTTGATGCATAAGATGGGTAGTTTGATTATGGCGTATGCGTTTGATGTTGAGCCTGCGACACCCAGCAAAGAGGTAGACGAGGAAGGTTTTGCTGAGGAAGAAGAAGACGCGGCGCTGCCAAAAGGCATGGTTCCACTGGCTGACATGCTGAACGCCGATGCCGACAGATGCAATGCGCGACTCTTCTACGAGAAAGACTGCCTGGAGATGAAAGCGCTAAAACCCATCCCGGTAGGCGAGGAGATCTTCAACGACTACGGTTCCCTTCCCCGAAGCGATCTACTGAGAAGATACGGCTACGTAACCGATAACTACGCGCAGTACGACGTCGTGGAGATTCCTGCCGAGCTCGTCACGGAGATCCTTGTCCGCGACGGCATCTGGCATCAAGACAGGATGGAATACCTCGACGAGCAAGAGGTGATAGACTCCGGCTACGACATCGCAGCCAGCAACCCATTCACTCTCCAGGAAAGTCTCTCCCCCGAGGTCGTCATTCTAGTAGAAAGCATGCTCCTCCCATCCGAAGAATACGAGCGTCTTAGCAGCAAAGGCAGACTACCCAAACCAGAAAGGATCACCAGCAAAGGCGCGGAAGCGCTGCAGAAGATTGTTCAGGCACGCATTGCGCAGTATGCTACATCGCTAGAGGATGACTTGAAGACGTTTGGCCAGGTCCCACCTGTCGACGCTGCATCGCCGAAGCAGCGGAGACTTGCGATGGCAAAGGCTGTGCGTATCGGCGAGAAGCAGCTCCTGGCTCAGACAAAAGATGCGCTGGTGGAGAGGATTGCAAGAGATGGCGGCGCGGCGGCGAAGCGGCAAAGGGCTGTTGATGAAGAGGGGGATGTAGAGATGGGTGGTATGGGGAAGAAGCACAGAGCTTGATCAACTCCAGACTGTATCCATCAGCACCTGCTGTGGTCGTGTTGCGACTTGCACCAAGAAAAAGAGCCCGATTATCAGAACGATATTCCAGATGTAAAAGATGATTTGGTAAGTTTCTGCATTTTTTTGTCGCCAAGTGAAGTGCTTGCGGCACTCACGGCGTTGGTATGTATGTGTATCCAAGTATCGACTTGCTGACTTATGTTCCATCTAGGTCGCTGCCCTTCCACCCACCCACCAACCGACCAACCGGCCACCCATCCTCCCTCCCTCAAATCTATAGGGCTAGTGTACATAGCTTTGGTAGATGTTTGAAGCCAGAGCCCGCCGAACGAATAGAAAACAAAGGGTATAATTTGTCGACAAGAAAAGCGCTGAACGAAGAAGACTGAACAAATTGTGGGTATCATCTTCCCGCTGGTCCTGCGCCTGTCGCGCTTGTTGGTGTAGGAGGAAGAAGATGGCCGGACGCAGATCGATTATGGTTCTCAATCGACCGGCGATTGGGATTTGCGGGTGGTTGCTGCGCCGCTGCCTTCTCGCCTTGACGCTCAATCATGATGCGGTATCTGATGTGCAGGTTGTCAGTCCAGTCAACGGGATAAGTCTCCTCATCCTCGCTGCTGTCACCAGAGAAACGCCAGCGGTCTGCCAAGCGATCATCGACCCGCTCGGTCTTCTGACGCTTCACGCCTCGTCGGTCGATCATCATGCGCCCGCCTCGACCGATTCTACGACGGAACCGAGACTGATCGTGGAACGGAACATCATCTGGAGGAGTGGCGAAACGTATACGCGTGCTTCTCCGTGGATCTGTCTGCTTACTCGACGGCACCACTGCTGTGGCATCAGCACCCTCTCCGTCAGATACGGATGCAGGAGGCGTGGGCAACTGACTCTCCGTGAAAACCGTACGGAAGTCTGACTTCGCAGCGGGTGGCTCCAGAGGGGGTGTAATGGGCCGCCATGTTGCGTCGACCCATCCCACATTCCACTTTTGGTGCTTGACTAGGTTGTCTTCGATGAAGCTATCAATGGCCTCGGTGCGCTTGGCTTGCTGCTCCTCGAGGTATACAATGTCACCGTCAACAAGGCGTCCGTCTGGACGTGTGTTCGTGGGCTTCATGCCAGGAAGCGTCTGGCGCTGTCTCTCGACATCGGCAGTTCTCTTAGGCTTGGGCGCAGGCTGTGGTGGGTTAGTCATCTGTGCAAATGCTCTGGTGAGTTTATTGCGACATACCTTCTGAGTGATGAGCAGCTCATCGTCATCACCCTTGATACTGAGTCGTCGCTTAAGCTCCTTGACAGCATGCCGTTGTTCGAAGATCAGCTTGTCCGTCGCGAGTTGTTCTCTTTGGATTGCCTCTCGCCGTTTGACTTGCGACATCAACAGACGAGCCTCCTCCAGTTCCTTCCTTAGCTTCTTCAGCTTCTCGGTCACTTGCGCGTCGCGACCACGCGTCTTGCGGACTTGCCGCACCTCACGTCGCCTGAAGCAAACATACGGATCAGCATCATCGGTCTCGAGGTTCGTCTCGAACTTCAATGAGGGCATAAGCGGGCGGTTGCCTTTCAGTAGCCGTTGGTTCTTCCAATGTGGGTAAATATCTCGTGCGAACCGACGCGCTGACTCGCTGATGGTCTCATCGAACTCGGCCTCGAGTTCCTCGTAAGAAAGAACAGGCGAGTTGTCGACGGCTGCATACGGTTGTTTTATCGCGGTGGTCTCTTCGAAGAAGTTGATCACCTCTTCAAACTCGTCTTCTGAGCAGTGGTTGGTTTTGCCCTTCTTTTGGTTGTAAGACTTGAGAAAGGCGACATCATCACTGGTCATGCAATACGGACAGCCAGATGTATCTTCGACGGTAGACGAAAATCGAATGCAAGTGGCGGGCTGCGTGAATCGTTTTGGATAGACATCTTCATACTGCAGTGTACTCGCGACAGCATCCGGAGTCGGGATGTAGAGCTGTGCGATCTTCCCACCAGTCGCTCCCTGCGCTGCTGCCTGGGCGGCGGATATGACAGCTTGTAAATGGTGCTCCTAAACATGATGTTAGTATGTGGTGGGTAAGGGAAAGGGAAAGCCGAAAGCGGCCTAGCGCGACTTACAATCTCCTCGCCCTTCTCAACACCGGTCTCAACCTTGGGAATATGGCGCGACGCATCGTCATCAGCAAGCTGCTCAACATCTTGTTCGCGCACGACAGGTAAATTCTGTTTTGTCGATAGCTTGCGCTGTCTGAAGCGTTGTCCGGTCGCGCGAGCCGTCATTGTTGTTTGTCGTTATGCACGTGACGACGGTTTGGGCTGCGTATGGGGCTTTGGTTGCAAATCTGGCGCCGGGGGCCAGCCAGCGAAGAGAGGAGTCACGCTCCCAGAAGCGCGATCCGACCACCAACGCGTCGCAATATTGTCGATATGGGTGTCAAAAGTGTCGCACGGACTTCCGCATGCGTTTTATCGCGTCGAAAGTGATGAAATGAGGTGTTGGGGTGCTGTTTGGCGATGGAAAAGGTTTAGGTGGGCGGCGATGTCGAGCGTGTTCAGCGGATGCGTTGGGGCGGCTTTTTTGGCAAGGAAGTTGCGCACGCAATGGACCAATCATAAGAGAGATCGCCGAGGATAGGTGGAACCTGCGCGATCGTCTTCTGCCCATCGTGCACACTTAGAGGTAGCTGCACATCTTCACCTTCATTGCCTCCGAAGCAGCAACTGCAGAAAGAAGTGCAGCATGC